TTTTAAAAAAAACCCCCCCCCCCCCCCCCCCCTAAGAAATAATAAAAGATGATGCTATACTGTCGAATATGGTTTGCTTTTAACGAAACCTTTTCTTTATTTTCATATCAGGACATTTGTATCACCTTGACATTTTTGAAAGTTTTAATTCATTCTTATTCTTTTCGTTTATCATGTTATTTAAACGTAAACACTTTATCAATTTTATACATGTAGCAAATGCAAGTAGCATAATAATTCAAATATTTCTTCCATCAGATTATGGCATCACCACAGATGAAGGAGCGCCTGTCAAGTGTTGTGTTAAACACTGTATCAAAAGGAGCATCTCCAGAATCAAAATGCCCAATATGCCTGGATCATTTCAAAAACATATCATATCTGGATGTGTGCTTACATAAGTTTTGCTTCTGCTGCATCCATGAGTGGTCGAAGAACAAAGCAGAATGCCCTTTGTGCAAACAGCCATTTAATTCAATTTATCACACCATTAAGTCTGAAGATAACTACAAGAGGTTTGACCTGCGACCAACTGAAAATGGCTCATTTGGCAACATGGCAGGGCAAAGATTCAGGTATCGCACCACGCTTACAGGCAACCGCAGACCAGCACCGAGGAGAACGTCTCCTCCTCCTGACCATGGGGTCATATTTGAGGGCCTGAGGGGATCTCTTCCACAGCGGCACAACAGAGATCTCCACAGCATGTTAAGGAGGTTGGCAGTAAGACAAAGAAGAGAGAGAGAGGGAAGATCTGTGCAAAGTCTTCGCGAACAAGAAATGGTTAAATTCAGACGGGCCTTGTACAGAAGAGGTGTGCAAGTCCAGAGCGTTCAGGATGGTGGTCGTAGCAGGGAGACTTCTGCAGAGTTCTTCAGAAGAAATCCTGCTTGTCTCCACAGGCTTGTGCCTTGGTTGAGACGAGAGCTGACTGTTCTGTATGGCAGTCACGGTTCCCTTGTCAACATAGTGCAGCACATCATCATGACTTTGATCACTCGACATAACTTGGATGACCAGGCTGTTGTACACGATCTTCGACCCTTCTTGCTATCCCATACAGAGCACTTCCTACATGAGTTTCTTTGTTTTGCTCAATCCCCGTTCAACATGGAGGCATATGACCAGCGTGCAGTTTATGACTTGCCTCGGCCCTCCGGAGAGGGTAGCAGTTCGGAAACCTCTGTGATCGCCATCTCTGAGGATGAAAGTGATTCTTTAGTGTCAGGATCCCAGGATTATGCCACTCCTAGTCTGACCTTAAGCCAAACAGCATGGGATGATGAGACCCCAGGGCCATCCTACTCCTCAGAGCCATCTCAGGTATTACCTTTCCCTGTGAGGGACTCGGATTCTGATAGCAGTGTAGGGGAAGCAGTAGTGTCTGTTGCTGCTGTGCCACATCAAGACCATCCAGCAAATACTGGCACTATTGCAGTGGAAGAGGAGCATTCCGCTAGCAGTGAGGATGACTGTGTTATTATCAGCTATGTTAAGCCAGTGTCTGAAAGGACTCCAGAACTGGTCCAGCTTTCATCTGATTCAGAACATTCTGAGCAGAATGTAGAGCTACGAAGCCCTCGGGCACCCCAACACATTCGATTTACTTCAGAGTCTGATTTGTCTCCCACTGACACTCAGAGAACCTCGAGGAGGCCAACGAGATGTTCTCGCTCACCTGAGAACACCACTAGTCACCCAAGAAAAGAAGATAAATATGGCAAAGGGCATCATGAAAGGGAGTTGTCGGGATCTAGAGAAGGATCCTTGCGCAGCAACAGGATACACTTCTCCTCTCGTAGCAGGAAACACCCATTGTCTAAAGAGAGCAAGCATAAGTGTAGACGAGAAAAAGAGACAAGTCACCACACCTCATCTTATTGGCATTCATATAGCCATTACAGTCAAAGAGACAGCAGCAGGAGATGTTATACAGAGACACGCTCATCCTACACCAGCTATTACAGAAGTGTACATGATCGCTTTCGTTCTCAATCGCATAGTAGAAGGCGGAGCAGAGACCGTCAGGACAGAAGTCACTCAAGGAGCAATTCTAGAATCAAGTCCAGCTCCTCCAATCGTCAGGACAGAAGTTGCTCAAGGAGCAATTCTGGGATCAACTCCAATCATCAGGACAGGAGTCGCTCAAGAAGCAGATCTAGAATAAAGTTTAGCTCCTCCAACCGTCAGCACAGAAGACGCTCAAGGAGCAATTCTAGAATCAACTCCAGTTCCTCACATCAGACATCACGGCATGATGATCACGGCAGGAAAAAGAAATACAAAACAAAGCATCATGAGGAATCCTCTTGCAAATTGTTTACTGATTCTGTTAAAGATGATGCAAAAAAGAAATACAAGAAGCATCACAAAAAGTTCAAGAGGAAAAGCAGGAGTCCAAGCAGAGATGACAAATCTGAGGGTCAGAGTCGGAAACATCACAAGAAGAAGAAGAAACACAAGAGGAAGAGCAGGAGACGTAATAGTGAGGAGAGGGTGGGAAAAAACAGCCCTGTTCTCATTACAATTTCTAGTGACAGTGACAGTGCTGACCCCAGTGAACCCTCAACCAGTAATATCTGTGCAGCTGGCTCCATTGTCCCAATAGCAAACAGTGCTACAGAAACTCAGCCGCTCATGTCCAGATTCCTAGACATGGAGCAAGAGTCAACTGCTGGAACTGGATGTAGTTCTGTGGGTGATGCAGGGAATCACCCCCCAGACAGTGAGTTTAACTGAACTCCTCAATTTGTGGCAACTAATGATTGACAAAGGACTATTGTAATGCCCACATGTATATTCAGTGTTTTATAAATACAAAAAGGATGAGTTTTAAATGTGATTTTGATTTGGGGTTACTTGTTTTTTTTTAGTTTTTTTTTTTAGATATATGCACATTTGCATTTGTGATTTATTTGAAAATGTATTTCGTTTCAAACTCCCCTATACAAGCAAATCAACAGTCATCAGTTTTCAAAGTTTAGTGTTCCTTTTTTATTTGCCTATGTCAAATAAATTGAAAAGGATCATAAAAGTGTATTTTTTACTGAATGCATTCTTTCATAGTGTGTTCTTTTGTGTGCACATTGTATTTCTATGTGTATGTTTGCTTAAAATAGTCTGGAAGCAGTTTCATGCACAGGCATTCATTATTAATTTTTGTCATTTACAGTTTATGACACATCAACTCCGTGTATATCCTCAGATTTCTAAAACAATTTCAGAAAATACACTGAAAATTCATCTTTAAATTGAATCAATACATTGATGCAGAGAATAAATACTTAAATTTTTCATTTGGGTATGTTTTTTTATATTTTTATTATGATTTCTTGATAGTGCACACCATACTGTCCAAACTACTTTTAAAGGTAAAAGAATGTAAACTGCAATAAGAAAAAAGTATACGTGATCTGTTGAAAAATCCATTATGTTTTATGAGCCAACACATTATATTTTACTGCAAAATATGTACAAAAATGTGGAAAAATTTATGCAAGGATTATTCCCACCGCATGATGTAATATTTCATATACATTTCTATAAATCCTGGTAAACTTTTTTCTTAGTTCATGCTAATTATGCTCTTTTATTGAAGTGCTGTCATGATTGTGTTTAGTTGGCTAAATCATGCACCATACTCTTTCCGACTGTTGTTGATCTTATCCACTCTTGCGGGGGAGATTGTTTCATTAAAGCACACCTACTTACAGCACAGTAGGTGGCGCTAATGTACATCTTGCTTTTCAGCTTCCTAGTTCTTTCTCAAGAAAGAACTAACGTTAGCTGATGTTGTGTTTTACACTTGAAAGAAAATGGCATCTAACAGTCAAGTAAAGGTAAATCTAATAGTATTGAATCATTATTGATAATGAAATATATGGGCGTACACATGGAGAAAATGTATGTAAGAAAATAGTTTAGGAGATGGAACACTGCAGTAATTTCACATCAACACGCCACTAACAAAAATGTTGCATTAATTAGGTTCTGAAATGAAGATTGAATTTATCACAATCGCTGTATTGTATTTGGCAGTATACAGCACTTTTCTTTACATAAAATGTCAGCAGCTCGTTTCGCATTTTATAGAACATGAAAATCTGCTATCACCACATGCTTTACCGCTTCTTCCTGGAGCTGAGCCCAGTGCTGCTAACTAAGCATAGGACTACGTACCGTATGTTAATAGTTCTGTGGGAGTGAAATAATTCTAATGTAAGTTAATTGTATTAATAACTGCAACGTTGTTTGGGCGGTACAATCGATATCATAGACTGTTTTGTATACCAGTCATACTTGAGAAATGGGACAAAACTTTGTAACGTTACTCAGACAAATGAAACTACATTTATGTATCTTACATGTACTAAGCTACCGAGCTATGCTTTGATACAACCTCCCAACTTTTCTCTTTTTTAACAAAATGTGCTTTTTTAATAGCTTGGACTGTGTAATATAATTTCAGCTTTATCTTTAACAGCATTCAAGATGTTTTTAACATTTCAAAACACATTCTTGTGTTAGCAGACAGATTACACTTTCACATGTGACCAATAATTCCACAACAAATATAAAATATCATAATGAAATATTATCAAAATATTCAGCTGACGGTGGTGACGAAAACCTGAATTTGTAGTCATCTTAACTATCAAATACATTGAATCAGTCAATTACTGTATTAAAACAAACAGTGAGTATGTTATTGTTTATAAAGCTTTTATTCAAGAGTCACATTTCAGTATTTTGATATATCATTGCAACACAAAATCCTATGGTGGTGACATGACGGTGTTGACAAATTTGGCATTTCTTTCACAAAACCAATGGAGTTCATGTAGTAGCCATTTTATTTTTTTCTGTTGATGCTAGATGCTAATGGAACCTGCTTCAGGAGAATAACATTATCTAAATATTTCAAATAATTTCCTCAGAAATTGGAAGATGGTGTTGACATATCATGGCTGTGACACAGGGAACCTGCTTCAGGAGAATACAATTATCTAAATATTTCAAATAATTTCCTCAGAAATTGGAAGATGGTGTTGACATATCATGACTGTGACAAAGGACATATTAACATTAGGATTTAAAATATTCTAAAACTATAAAACTTAGCAGAGCCTGTCTGGCACTGATGTACTCTGCAGAGGTGAAATGTGGCAAGGGGGTCCTTTAGAGTGACAGCTGCCCCTGATATTCCCTGATATTATTACATTTTATTGAATGTCTGACAGTGTTGACAAAAAGTGGGGACGCAACTTTAAAATCATGTTAAACATGCATGTGTCATTAAAAAACAACCTTGCTTTGATAGGAGATATTATTAAGTGTTGCTTTTGATAAAACAAGCTCTTTTTCATCATAAAAAAAAACATTTTATCCATTTTATTGCATATGAATGATTGAACCCTTCTCTGTGGACACACTGTTTTAGATGTAGTGAGAGGACATTAAGAAACACAGATTTGGTATAATAATGAGAAAATTAAATTGAAGGTGATAATTGTGTTAAATACATTCTATTATTAATCCCTCATGACATTTAAAATTGAAAATATTTTTATTTTTAAACCTAATAGCAGTTACCCTTGCTGGACCTGTTTTGTCCCATGTCTCAAGAATGACTCGATGCTCTTTTTCACTTTGGTAGAAAAAAAGTTTCGGTTGTGACATGTTAATATAAAATATAGTCTAAAACGTACGACTATCCTACATTTAGGTTTACTGGCACCATTTAAAACTTAAGAACTTAATTAAACCATTATGAAGTGACTCTTAACAGCACCCTGATTGAAACGTAGCCCCAAAACTTTTCAATTAAGCATTAAAAGAATAGTTCACCCCAGTTCTCTTTCTCTCTTCCTACAAGCAGGGGGTAAGTTCACCCCAAAAAGAAAATTCTGCCATTATTTAACGTACTCACCCTCTATTTGTTCCAAACCTGTCCAAATAGAGTTTCTTCTATTGAACACAAAAGATGATGTTTCTTAGGCTGATGACACATGAGGCAACTTTTTGAGCAATTTTGCTGGCCAACTTTTTTGGAGCAATGTTTCTTGGGCACTTCTCCACTGAGAATGGGTAACAAATGTCTATATGGAATTCTGGATACTTAAGATCGGTCGTGGGCCCTGTGTCTCAACTGGTTGCCCGTTGACAGCAACATTAACCAAAGTTGTCCCATTTATAATCAGCCTAAGAATGTTAACCAGACAGTTGATGGTAGCCTTTGACTTCCATAGTATCCCCCTAATATATATATATATATATATAATTTTTTTGTGGATCCAAAGAGTACATTTTATGAAAAGCCAATGTTTAGGCTATTTCTTTCTTTTCACATTCAATATGTATCGCTTGTCAGTAATATTCATCATTGATCCTTACAGCCACTTTTAAATTTTTTTCTAGTTTTTATTGTTTGGGAACTATTTAGTATAACTGCAACATTAACTAACATATTTACATAATTCATTAAAATGAGATAGTCTAATCAACTAAAAATACTTCCATATATATATGCTCCTTTTATACCCAAACATGATACCTTGACCTATTATCAAATTTACCTGCTTACTGTGAACTGTTTCAAAACAGTTTAATGTGGATATTCTATAACCTTTTCACTTTTATTTAGCCTCTGTACCAACATTTTTGGAGTGTGTTGCAGCCGTCAAAAACAAAATTTGTTCATATTTACAAAATACATTTACATTGGTCAGTGAAAACTTTGCAAATCTTTTCTTTGTACTTTGGTCAATTAAATAAAAGTTAAAGAGAATTAACAAATCACAGATTCTTGATTTGTTTGCATTTTACAAAACATCCCAACTTCTCTGGAATTGGGGTTGTATGTACTGTATATATATATATATATATATATATATGGAAAAAATAAAATATTGCATCCCCATATTGTGCAGAACTAGCATTATACACAAAGTGACTCCTCTGGAGGCAAAGAATGAGAAGCAGAATGAAATAAATCTATTTTCAGCTGCATTCTTGATTCTTCTATTCTGATGGTGTTTAGCAAACTGTCTAGGAAATCATTCAGGTTAAGTGACTTGGCTGTCCTCAACTTCAGTGCTTAAGACTCTACTCGCTTCTGGAATACTTGATTCTGTTTATTCAATAATGGCATTTAGCGGTCAGATATCTATGGCAACACTGTAAATCAGAATGTTTATCTGGGTAACTGAAACAGGCACTGCATGACTCATGTCTCATGCAGTACAGTACATATAGTATCACAGACTTGCTCTCTCTTGTTGCATACAAATGCAAATGGCACCATCTTGCATCTATATATTGTGAAAATTGCCTCAGAGTATGAATATCATTTAAATATATTTTTAAATGAACCACATCCTATTTGTTTTGTCATTATAAAATATTTGCGAGTGTTAGAAATGTTTTAATTAAATCAACCAACTGCAGACACCCATCCCACATTCAGATGTGTCTATAAAACATCATGTTCTCATAGATAGGAATAATTGGTGGATCTGGTCTTGATGATCCAGATATCCTGGAGGGAAGGACAGAACGGTATGTAGTCACGCCATTTGGAAAGGTGAGTGTCTCTGCATTGTGTCTAGTGTACTTTCTCGCATGCATAATTATGGGAGAGTACATTTGGAAATTAATATATGCATTTGCTTTAATTAAACTCAGAAGTTGAAATAATTGCTAATCATGGTTTGCTTCTAAATCATGTGTTCCCAATAATATATAACAGTTGTATTGATA